TGGCCTGAATCAGGAGTGGAAGTCGTACGAATACGAACGAAGTCTGCTACGAATGTACGTCACCTCCGCACGCAAATCACATCGTGATTATAACACAAAACATAGAGCAGGCGCAACGAATGCTGGCCAAATTCGACAACGCTTGTGAAAAACTCGGTTCAAGAATGAACGTAACCGTGTACTTAGAATAAGTCAACATGATGGACGACCTTGCTCTGAAGCAGAAGCAGGAGAAAATGCGTCGCGTTGGAATTTTTTGGATGTAGAGAAGAAGGCAAGAAGGGCATGATTGCGCGCTCATTCTTCCGGCACTGCTGTCCTTCCTGCTTTGACGCACACCTCGGAAATGTGGGCTCTACGAAATCAGGATGAACATGGTGTCAGCGTCACTCAACGCGCTCTAGAATGGGCGATGATAGGAATTCTCTGAATCACCGTGATGACCTCGGACCAGGGCAGTTAATGAACGAATCTCTCGGGTAGCCAAACAAACACCACGACGGCCATCAGCGCGATGGTCAGACTTCTTGTCAAGAGCACTAAAGGAAGGAATGCTGTGCCTCGTGCTCCTCTAGCAAAGTCGATCCACTGAATCACTGCGACAGGGACGAATGGACACGATACTGTTGTCCGCTCGATGAAGTCGATGATCAACGGGAGGAGTTGTCCACCATTTTATTTTAAATTATATTTTTTTGTAGATTTATCAATTTTTGTAGATTTATCAATTTTTGTAGATTTTAGAACACCACCACCCGATCACTCATACGATGAGTGATCGGGTGGTGGTGTTCTAAAATCCTCTACCAAAACACTGCTTTCTTCGTCGAAGTCGGAGACGAGTTGTTACAGAATTCAGTAGAATCCTCATGAGATGACATGTGAAGACATACAACTGGCAAGCGAAAAGTGAGTGGAAAATCCAGTGAAATGCACTTAGTGACTCTTCTGGATACCTATCAGAATGAGTTACCGATCAGTTTCCTCTTCAGCGGTACCGCTTCACTTCATTGCGCAGATGGATCATACATTAGAGGGTATGGCATGTGGAGTTTTTATTCACCCACGAGAGTGGGAATGTATAGGATGTCGCGTGACTCAAAGATCGCTCCGAGGGTTCTCCGAGCGTGCTGACGCCTGTGGGACACCGTCGCAATTGACCCCCTATAATCAAACATGATCGCGCGGGAAACACGCGTTGCAGCAAGGTGGCTCTCGTCGCGGTTTGTCATTCGCCCTATCCGACTCGGCTCTATCCCGATGTGACTTGGCTCCCCCCGCATCTCGCGACGGCCCTGCAGGGCTTCGGCCCTTAGAATCTCTCTTGGTTAATTGCACT